AATCATTATGAATGTAACAACTTACTGAGGTTATTGGGAACAGTGGTGGTCATAGAGTATTACAGCTGCTGGGAGGAAGGATCTGTGAAAAAGCTCCCTGGTGCATTTAGGGTGCAGCAGTCTGTCACTGAAGGAGCTCTCCAGTTCAGCACCAGCTTAATGCATGGGATGGAAAACATTATCCATCTCTTAACATCAGGCTCGGACTGGGAACGAGTTTCGGCCCTGGCATTTTTCCATCTACACCGGCCCGCCAACCAGAGGAATAGAACTATAAACAGTCTGTCAACATAGCGCAATGAACCCCACCTTTTAGCGCAAATGAGCCGAACCTAGTTCAGCTCATCTACTTAAGCAAAACCTGTGAGCCCAAGTCAACATGTCCCAGTGGGCAAAATTAAAAACCAAACAGCCTACCCTGACGCTGTCTTGATCACGGGACTTTTTGCAAGTTGCAATCTACTCCAGATTCCACTTTAATCCACACGGTTTAACACATCCGGACAGCATTGTCAGCAAGCCATGGATTATGTTTGCATTGCTAATTCACATTAGAATCATTAGCCTTTAGATGCAAAACCCCATCATGCATCGCAACATATTTTTGCAAAATATTTAAACATAAATTTGCCAAATATAAAAGGAACATCGTAGTTTGGTTTAAAGAAAGCATTTTAGTTTTATTATAATTTAGTCTGTTGCAAGGATTTTACAGTTTGAACAAATAGAAAATTACACCATATGCCAACCGTCACAAGGATGTGCATGACAGGGAAAGGTTATATACACTGCATGCATCATTTAAGTAGTTAACATTGTATTACTTCTTGATCTCCTTGAGTTATTGTCAGGTAGTTGCTTTGGCCAGAGAGTAAGTGTGTAAGTGTCGCGGGCTGGTATGATTTAAGGAGGGCCGGCCCTTGCACGCCGAAATTAGGATCGGCCCACTGGGTAAATGACCGATATCACAGATTACCAGTCCAAGCCTGCCTCACATCATCCAATCACAGAGCTGGCCTTCCCGATCAGCTTATCCAGCCGTCAGATAAGCCACTGCTCCATAGAAAATGGCCGATGCCACAGCAGAGTCATAGAAGGTCCTTAGGAGCGCCCCCTGCACTCTGAAAACCTTAGTTTCCTCAGCAGGAAGAGTCTGCTCTAACCTTTCTTACACAGAGACTCAGTGTTGTGAGTCCAGTCCAGTTGTTATTCAGATGAATACCTAGGTACTTATAAGAGTCCACTCTCTCAATATCCCTTCCCTGGATGTTCACCATTCTAACAATGCGCTTGTTTAGGAATAACACATATATTTGTATTAATCAAACAAAATAAACCTTTTTTTAACCCTGATTTTTAATGGTATGAGCCCCAGTTATTTAGAAAAACAAATTGGTTGGCCTTTTGTAAAGTTAGTTAAAACTAACTGGATTGTAGAAATAGGTAGTTTTATAATAAACCAAAAAGGACGGTGAAGAAGTTAACTCAGCAGTCATCTCCTCATAATCCAGCCTGCTGATATATTACTGTTTAAATCAACAAGCTTTACAGGTCTCAGGTATTTCTTTTCTTCTTTAACCTGTCCGTGCACTGCCGTGTTGAAATACTGCAAAGTCCTGAGTAAATATTTTCTCTCCAACCAGAACAGTTGAAGACATTCAGAGTTTCAGAGTGTTTATCAGCGCAGCAGCTTGCCCAACAGTGGACCTTTCAGTCTCTAAAAGACTACATAGAGTTGATTTAAAACCTCCATTGCTGCTAAATGAAACAGTTTTAGGTGTATTTCAACATCTGTTCCTTAAGAATCTTTATAATACAAAGTTTAATGTTGCCAAACATGACCAGGTTCAGTACAGTCAATATAGTCAGTGTATAAGGTACAGATCATGTTTGTGTTGAATCAGTTCTGGAGGTTTGTTCTGTTTAAACCTAAAACGTGATTTTGAAATACTATTACATTATACATTTGACCCCTTGTCTATTCCAAAACCTTATAGGTTACCTTTCTGGAGCTTAACAGGTTTGACCTCGAAGAGCAATTTCCAAAATTTCCCAGTTAGATTCTAGGAATCTTACTGATTACTTTCCTATAATTAACCAGCTGCTTCCCTGTGGTAGTTTCATAAAGTTATGAGATCATGCCAAGAAAGAACCAGAGAATATTCCAGGAAGTTTCTGGAAAAATCCTGATAAGATCCAGGATCAAGCTAGGCTTTACAAAAAAATAAGCAGTAACAACCTGAAGGGTAACTTCTTCAAGTCGCAGTAAAGTCTTATATATATTTTAAAGTGCTTTAAAACATGACAAGAGTTTTTCCAGTCATAAAATGGGTCATACTTTGCTCACATTAACACCAGTGTATTTAAAGATATTTAAACTCTTTTGTATTTATTAAAAAATGCTATTTGCATCCCTAAGATATCACCTGATAGAAATATTTTCATACATTCACTTTGTTTTATAAGTCCTGTTGATAGTTAGTAAATCAGTGGAATCTAAATGTCTAAATCCAGGTTCAAACTGGTGAACTATCAGCTGCTCTAGTGAGAAAATTGGGCTTTAATTAAAGTATTTGCATGGCCAGAAAATATGAAATACAGTCATTTATAATAATAATAATCAGGCTAATGAGGTTTACAAAGAAAAGTGTCAATAGAAAGAACTCTAGGTGTTCGGTACATACTGTAATATATCCAAAAAAATCATTATTTTGATAAATACTGATCTTGGTTTTTTCCATCTATCCATTAATTTTCTGTCACACTACTGGTGCCTATCTCCAGCTGTCTACGGGCGAGAGGCGGGGTCCATCCTGGACAGGTCGTCAGTCCATCACAGGGCAACACAGAGACAAACAGGACAAACAACCATTTACACACACACTAATACATACAAGGAGAATTTAGAGAAGCCAATTAACCTAACAGTCATGTTTTTGGACTGTAGGAGGAAGCCGGAGTACCCAGAGAGAACCCACGCATGCTCAGGGAGAACATGCAAACTCCATGCAGAAAGACCCCAGAACAGGAATCAAGCACGGAACCTTCTTGCTGCAAGGCAGCAGTGCTACCCACTGCTCCACTAAGCAGCCCCAACTTATTTTTTTTTATTTCATTAGTTTTTTAACTTAATAAAAATTTTGTGTAAGAATTACATGAATAACACAGTGTATAAAAGGTAGGATTAGCGCACCATAATATAAACAATCTAAAATATTTATGTAAAATTCCCCCAATATTGAGGATATTTTAAGAAATTTTAGACAAAGGAAACCAAAAAAACAAAAAGCAAAAAGTAAATATCACCTCAACTATTTCATAGGTGAATCCGTTTTAGTTTACTTTGTCTTAAATTTTAAATACTGAATGTCTGAAATTATCTGAAAAAGGCTGAATAGAAAGTCTAATTTTTATTAAACAATGTTTAAAGAAATGAACACTTGACAAGATTCAGTCTAACTATCAGTCACCAGCTTGCAAATCTTAAAAAATGACAAAGATAGTAGCTTTTATTATGTTAAAGAAAATACATTAAAGAAAAAAGGCCATAAATAAATTAAAATCCACTTGAACTCTATATGACAGTTTTAATAAACCAAAAAGAAAAAGATGCTTACAGTTGTATATAAAATCTTACATATATTCATACATTCATATTTAATCTCATGCAGAAATTCAACCAGGAATGTTTCCGTTCGGCTGCTCAGAAATAAATTCTGTTAAAGGTCAAATTCATTATTTGCTCCTGAGATTAGAAAAAGAAAAAAATATTCCGCTTTTATTGAAATCAATATGAACACAGATAACTCACTCAAATTCAGTTAAATAAGGATTTTAAACTTGAGAAATTATATAAAACAACCTCATGAGGCAATTCTTGATGATCTATAGATTTGGTAATTAATAAATCCCCAAATTAACTCAAACATGACATTAAACATTGCTATATAGCTGCAGCCTTCTGCCATTGCTTCACAATAGAAGATGTATGTTTGCATCATCAGGATAGATGTTACAATAATCTTTATTGCTGCAATGGTGTTATAATTCAATATATTCTGTGAAATGTTTCTTTACCTCCCAACTCCTTAAGATGCTGCAGGATTTTTTTTAGGGACAGGGTTGTTCAAAGGCGGAGTTGGTGTGGATTATTTCCTTCCCTCCTGCTCAGTTTGACAAAAAAGGGAGCTGCTTTTACAGATCGTACATAAAACGGCCATTAGGAGGAGTATTTCCTTAGATGCAAGGAAAATACTGCATGAGGCTCAATTGCCTAAAGGGCATTTGGTTATGAGTCAGAAACATTAAAGTTACATTATTTTTATTACAAGGATACAACATAGTTGGACCAGCAATCATTTATGACACTTTGGTGAAATAGTTGCTTCTTTAAAGGCTTCAGAAGGCCCCATCTGTGGGTTCAAAAAGGCAGCAGGAGTTAAACATCTGTGGGTCCCTGGATAAACAGATAACATGCCTAAGCAGAAATCTCCTCTGCTTTATGAAACACGTAATAACGACAAATGTTTCAAGAGGAGTTCTTTACTACAGCAAGGTGTCTGCATGTCCATTTTATCTCCGAGCGGAAAGATGGAAACCATGAGGAGGCTGAATTGCATTGGAGAGAAAAACCCAGACGGATTTCTAAAGTTGACCAAACTGAACTCAGGCAGTAAGACCTGAGTCCTCACTCAGCAGAAAACTGGAAACTCTCACCTACATGTGATGTTCAGCTCCTTTCACAGCCAGCAGGATCCCTGTACCAAAAGCCTGGAAGTACACTGGAAAAAATCCAAATCTAGAAGTAATTTTTTCTTAAAATAAGTGCATTTGTTCTTGAATTAAGAAGGTAAAAGACACATTTTGCCCAATGGAACAAGACAATGTACATTTTAAATAAGAAAACACAATTGCATTGTCTTATTACAAGTGCATTTTATCTAAATATCTTATTTTAAGAGTAAAAATACTAATTTCATTGGGTAATCATCTCATTTACCTACTCAAAATAAGGGTAAATACGCTTAATTCAATTACTTTTTTACTTATTTCTAGATAATTTTTCCAGTGTATAATCAGAATTAAGCGTAATATTTCCCTCCAGACTACTTGGATCTGTTGAAAGGATCAGTCTATGTCTCATCTTACCACATTTTGAAGTAAAAGTCCTGATGGAGTTTAGCAAACTTGACAGGTTTATGTTTGTGATGGTAGGACAGAAAGTATATCTGAAGTTGGGATCTAAAAGTTGTAATTGTGTCATTCTTTAGGATATTTCTCTAACAGTGAGTTAATTTACACAATCAGCTCTCATCCTTAGCCATTTCTTTACTCTAAAAGATACTCTGACTGATCCAAATGACATGTTTTCCTGTCTTGCCCATTTTGAAGAACAGCTATAAGCTTCCCATCACAGGTAGAACCAAAGAAGGAGGAAGCTATGAATTAAGGCACCAAGTATTGGGAAAAAAAATCGATTTTCTCAATGTACTGTACGTTTTTTCTTCTCCATTGGTTGAATATTTTCTAAATAAAGGTTGGGTCTTTCTATTATTTTAGAAAGAGATTAGTGTTACAGTTAAAGATGAATTAATTTGAAAATGTTTCACACATTTCTGACAGTGGAGTTACTCTGTTTGGAACCTAAGCTTTAAATTAAAGCTAGAAGCTGTAATGTCCAGGTGATGATGATCCTTTTAAACACATTTCTCAGGCTTTAAAATGGGCCGATCTCATGTTCTATTGTATTTTTTTATCATCCGACTGCAACAAAAAATAAAAATACTTGAACAGGTTTAAATCTGTTTGGCAGAAGCTGTGCTTTTTTAACTCGTGTGAGTCAGCTTTCAGCTTCCTCTGCTCAGAATAGGGTGGTTTCAGTTTAAATGATGAAGATGGTTTCAGTTTTTAGCCTAGGTCTGGTCAGAGCATAGTGGTTTCAGTCTGCAGGATGGACTGGGCTCGTGCGTTCCTGGGAAGCTGCAGAAAGTTGTCGGTACCGTTGTGGTTTGCAGACATGCTCCGGAGCCTGTAATCCCGCCAAACGCAGCGCTTCAGGGATAAACTCCTCCATGTCCTCCTCACCTCGGCCTGAACCTGAGGAGAACAGAGCTGACTTATGCAGGATCACTGATCAAATATTGACTGAAAGATGTCTGTGGTCATGAGGGCTCACCTCGCTGTTGAGAAAACAGTAGAGGACAGCTACGATTAGACCCTGGAAGACAAACACAGAGAGTTGGACATCTTTCAGACCTAATGATGTTAGCCTCTAGAGCCTGGATGGGTTTTCTGTTTGCTGTGTCTCATTGTTATATGGTGAAGGTCACTCGTCTTCTGCTTTAATAACTTATTTCATTCATTTTAGTCTATTCAATGCTCAGATCCACACTCTCCAGATGTTTTAAGGTTTAATTTAACTTCCATTTGGGATTGATGCTGTTCTTTTTAATTGAACTGAACTAAAAAATTTCATCAGAAATTCTTTAAGTAATGTATATAGAAATGATTGGCCAATCAGATCCTAGCTTTAGTTTTTTCCTGTACAGTACTATTTTTATTTAACCTTAATTTAACCATTAAAAAAAAAAAATCCATTAAAACCAAATTCTCTTTCAATTATGAACTGGCCAACAGTTTGAAAAAGTGCCTCGAAGAAACACAAAGAAACCTAAAAGAAATTATAGTTTCCAAATAAAATGAAATAAACACCTACTGACAAAACACAAATAAATGCAATACTAATTAAAATACAGCAAAGTAATTCCTGTATGACAGAACATTATGAAAACATCCAAACTGTAGCATGCTGTGTTTAGGAACCCTGGAAGGCTCGGACTGGGAACAATTTTCGGCCCAGGCGTTTTTCCATCTACACCGGCCCTGGAGTTATTTACTGTCACAGGTAGGAACTTCGGCCGGAGAGTAAGTGTTGGGGCCGGTATGATTTAAGGAGGGCTGGTCCTCGCATGCTATAATTAGGCCCTGCCACCAGGCATATGCCCAGTATATCAGATTACCAGTCCGAGCCTGAACCCTGGGATTAATAATCCAGAATCACTTGGTAAATCCCCTGTATGGACAGAAAATAAATTAGATTTTGTCAAACTGAATCTGCATAATAATAATATATTTATAATAATAATAATTAAAAATCATTGATCTCACAATAGACAAATTCCCCTGGGGAACAGTGGGCTGCCATGGCGCATCGCCTGGGGAGCAATCGGGTTTAAGGGTTTTGCTCATAGACCCAGAGTGCAGGCTGAGGGGATTGAACCAGGTACTTGTAACCTTCTCAGAGCACAAGAGCACTGCTCTAAGCACAAGACCAGCACTCCCCCATTTGTGTGATTTCACATTTCAAGCAGTGTTCGGAAACTAGATTTAAATGTTTGCTATACTTATACATGCTGATGTTCCTTTTAAGTCCATTTCCTTTCACATTTAAACAATAATAGACTAACAAAAACAACAACAGCTGGACAATTAGAGTCTCTGCTGGATTTAAGATGAGCTGAAAGTATGAGGAAGATGTGTTTAAAGGTGGATCAGTATTGTGTTTTATTATTTCTTAATTCCTCTCTTAGTGCTCTTAGGGCTGGATTTATCAAGATCCAATTTTGCGTGCAGTAATTTACGCTCGCAAACTGGAATTTTGCGCGAGGGGCTGAACCATGGTTTGCGGGTGATTTAACAAGAGTGATTGCGTAACTGGTGGCAGGTGCAAAACTGTTGGAGACGCCCTATTTAAATGATGGTTTTGCGCGTTTTGTGGTTTGCGGCAAAGTAGTTTATAGTTTGTACAAACTAGTGCATTAAGAAATTTAAATCTTACAGTGACCCCCAACAAATATATATATATATATATATATATATAAAGAAAAAACTTTGGTAACCTTTATTCCCTAAGGTGGTATGTGGCTGAATTTCTACTTCACTGCAGTAAAAAAACAAAAAAAAAAAAAAAAAACAGGTGTTTTGTATTGGCCTGTAGAAAAATGCACATACCAAATGGCTCACAAGAAGTGACTGTGGATCCCCGCAGCATTGGCATGTTGCTCCACAGGCGCAGGGGGAGAACCCCGACCCCGTCGGACAGCACTTCTGAAAAACGAGATTGGGAGATCCCAGCTCTCGCTGCAACCGTACGCTGGAATGACCCAGATGCAAAAAAGTGCAATGTTGCAAGGAGTTTAGAAATATCTGGTATTGCGTGGGTCCTCCTTGCGGCTGGCTCCAAATCCATTCGGAGTTCCCCCAACAGCTCCAAAATGGCAATGCTGGATAAACGACATGTTTTGATGATCGTTTCCTCGTTCATTCCAAAAATATTCACACGGAGTGAAAAAATGCGTTCTCTGCGTCTCCTTGCTTCATTTCGACGTCTCCTTCTTGCGACAATAACCGCTGCCATGTGTGCGCAATTACGCATACAGACCATTTGCACCTTCTTTTGAAACGTGTTAAATATAGAGTCAGATACCGTTAGCCAAATTGCTTTCAGGTTTAATAAATCACTTTGCGAGTGCTAAATTAATATATTTACATGTTCTCCTCCCACAAGACGCACTTTTGCGTGTAAACGCCCCATATTGCATATTCATTGCAGAAAAAGTACTAAATGGATAAGAGGCGCTATTTAGCACGTTTTAAAGACCAAATCCTTTTAGCGCGCTGTTGATAGATCAGTTTGTACATTTTTTAGCGTGCGCAGTGAAATAGCTCACGTTTTAATACACGCAAACCTTTGATAGATCCGGCCCAAAGTTGTTTTATTAATAGTTATTTGCTTTCTGCTGCCATATATGTTTTGCTGTTGGTAACATGTAAGCAAATGCTTCTGAATGTCTGGGACGTCCCACCTGGAAGGAACCGAGGCCCAGGTCAAAGAAGATCTTGATCTGCTTCAGCGTTTTATTGTCTGGCTCCGTCAGGTAGAAGAACACCACGTAGTTCACCCCAAACAGAGGGATCAGCAGGAGGGTGGACCTCGCCAGCCGCCTGGATGCCGGTTTAAAAAAAGAAAACAGATATGTGTTTCTATCATCCTGGAAGTTAAGTTAATTGTTATCTATTCAGTGGACTCTAATAATCAAGGTCATATCTGTCAGAAAGCAGGTGGAGAAACATGAGAGCGGATAATATTGGGATCATGTTTGCCTCTGTGTGCTGAGAAAGAAGCAAATGTTAAGGTTCCAGCTGGCACTGCAGTCACAGAATAAATTCACAGCAATAAAATCAAACCCCAAATCAGATTTTTCCACAATACCTGAACTGTGATTGGTTGTTTCCTCCCACATCCGAGCAGCGCAGTTTCTGCAACAGGATCCGAATGATGCTGATGAACAGGAGGAAATTAATCTGGAAGAGAAACTCAGGAGTCAGAGAGATGCCGATGGCTTTTAAATCACCACCTCATCACGTTTATAGTGAAAAAATATTGTAATTACTTTCTACAGAGTTCAAAAATGAGCATTGAAGGCTGAGTACACAAAAATATTTTATAAACAAATGTGCATTTAAATAGTGCATTAAAGTAATGCACTGGGAAACATTAAGAAGCACAGAAAAAATGGTTAAGAAGTATAGAAAAGTTTAACAAAAATCATTTTGGAAAAACAAAAATAAAAATGGTACGTGATTCCTACAAAATAAAAGCAATTGAAGCATGCTACTATCATACATATACCACTGATCTGGAGAGTTTTAATTAGTTTCTGTTTCCCTCAGATATATACAGAAGCAGCCATTCAAAATAGCCCTTCCCAGTCAAACGCCAGCCCAATGGCAGCCAACTTCCCTGCAAAATCCCCTCCAACTTCCAGCCACTGGCCTTCTCCTGGGTGTGTAATTTTTTTCACTCCGATTCCACCCTTTCACTGAACTACAGGGTCTGACCTGGAGATGATGCTTCTCTTTAGATCTTGTCCAGAAATCATGACAGAAACAATATTTTAGTACAAATATTGATGTTTAAAAAGGAATTGTAGGGGACCAGCCAAGGACGCATCAAGTAAAGTGGGAAAATCTTAAATGGCTACTACTGTATAAATGTAAATGAAGATGGAACAGACAAAAACAAACATGTCATTACATAAAACAGCAGTGAGCAGATCCTTTAGGAAAAAATCCTCTACTCTTAAGTGTTGATATGGAAAGACAGGACATTAAAATACAAGATGATTTATTGGATGGAGATCGACCTTTGCATCTTTGGATCGCCTTGTCTCCATAGCAACCATCAGACGCTACCTTTTTTAACTTATCTGTCCTACCATCGCAAATATAAACATGCTAAGTTTGTTAAAGTCTGTTTAAAAAAAACACTTCTTGATAAGACAAAGATTGAGATTTTTCTGTACTAATCCCTAGAAATGTTTAGCAAGGTAGAGGACCTGTGATGCTTTGGGCAAGTCTTTTTAGAATACACATCATTTTGAGAATAATGCCAGAATAATGAAAACAGGTCATTGTTGGGTTGTAAAAGAGCAGAACATGTGATTCCCTGCTGCTAATAAAACAGAATTTAAAGAGAACTCACAATGATAGAAGCCATGATGGGCCAGTTGATCAGCCTGTCAGGAACAGGGTGTTCGTTAAACTCCCAGCAACTGTGAATCACATCCGAACAATGTTCATTACGTGCATGGAACAATCAGAAAATAAATTTCACACATCCCAAACTTGCTAGACACCAAAAACTACCGGAAGCTTTTTTTTCTTTTTTAAAAAGCTCCTTCAACCATGAACAGAAATGACCATCAGGACCGATCAGGACCAACCAACATTAACCCCAAAAAATGTGTCCACCTCAGTCAAGGGTTATAGCTACGTGGATTTATGTTCTCCTGAACTCAGAGTCACCAAAGGTTTGAAATGTTTTTAAAAAAAAAGAAAACACTCTGAACCTGCTTTATCTGCTCTCACAGTAAGTTACAGATTTTAAGGATGAAGAGAAAAACAATATTCTACTTTGCTATTCATATATGGATCATGTTTTATACTGGGCTACTCATTTTAAAGTTTCAACCTGAGTTACTACAGAATTTAACACAGGAGATTTAAAATAAATGCATGTATTAGTAATTAGTGCCAGATGTGTCAAAAGTATTAATATTTATTACTCAAGTAGAAGCTAAAATCTTACTGTTTAAAAACACTTTTGTAAAAGTTAAAGTATCAACTAAAGCTTTTTACTCAAGTAAAAGTATAAAAGTACCATTTTTAAAATGATTTTAAGAATAAAAATAAAGTAATGCAGCAAAAAAATGTTAAGAAAAGATGCGTTACTGCACTACAAAACAATGTAAGGAGTAGAAGTAAAAGGTTATATAAAAACAAATACTCCAGTAAAGCACAGATAGCTAAATTTCCACTTCACTAAGGTAACAAAGTATTTGTACTTTGTAGCTGGACACCTCTAGTTGATGCTGGTGTATTCAGCCAACAGCAGGTGTGATAAAAATGTATCTTCATAAATAGATTTCTCCCTCTAACGAAAGCTACATTCATAAACATATGAACAAGAAAGTACAAAATGAGGTGTTAAGACTTTGCAAACAAACATATTGGATGGTTACTCTCCGCATTCAGCAGGACAAGAGATTTAAACTGGATGTATTAAAAAACTCACCTGCAACACAAACCAAGGGTCCTCTGTTAAGACATCTTAGAATATTAACATGTGAAAACTGAATTAAAGTGCATAAGAGTTTCACATTACATAACCTAATTAGCCTTGTTTAACTAAAAAGTTTTATAATACAGGTTTGTAAGCAACAAATATCAATGTAGGGCTTAATAAAGGTATTCACACATCTTGGTGGTTTCTACATTTATCAGATTGCACCAAAAGCCTTCATTTTGTTCAGCTGGATTTTATGAGACAGACTAACACTGATGACTGGTGTGTGAAAAAAAAACTGTTTTGCATGTAATAAATCTAAAAATGGTTTTACATTTCTGTTTAGCCCCCTGAATCAATATTTTAACAGCTCTAAATATCTATTAAGTGAAAAATCTGCCTATTCCTTTTTACAATAAAAACCTAAATGCTGACAGACTGATTAAAAAGCATCTCTGAACATCATATTTTCAATCTTGTCATAAATTCCCAGTTCGATTTGTCTGTGGACATTTCATACATATTTTGGGTCATTGTCCGACTGGATGGTGAACCTTCCCTCCTATTCTAAAGTCTTCTGTAGGCTTAAGTTCCATTAACCTGCAGAACAACTTCCAATAATTCCCTTTCTGTACAGAGGAGACATCGCCCCACAGCATGATGCTTACACCACCCTGTTTCGCTGTTTATCACCATAGAAAATGAGTACTAAGCCTTTTTATGCTGGCCACCCAGCCAGACTATGTTCTTGTTTTCAAGCTGGCTTCTGAAACAACTACCTTCTTTTTGTTGCGGTGCTTCTTAATGGCTGGAATCGTGAAATTATGACCTCTTCGCTGAGATTTGGTCAAACTAGATTCTATCTTTTGGTATCAGAGCAAAGAGGAGTAAATATGAAAGCACAGATCAGATTTTCATTTATAAAACCTTTGGTTTGGGACCCCATGTGAAGAGATAGAGGGATTCATGGGTTGGGGGGGTTGATTGGAAGAACAAATGTCTCATCATCGGGATTTGCTCCGTGATCAGAGGAAATGTTACTTGGCGCACAACAGTGGTGAAAATTGGAAGTTAAGTTTAATATAATACAACTCAGTGAATAGTTCCGTCTGAAATAAATGAAAATAGTTGTTTTAATGGTTATAGAGTCAGATATGTGGCGGTAATGTTTGGTTTATCTAAAGGTTTTAATCTGTTACTGTGTAAATGAGTTTGGCTGTAATTTAAGGACAGATTCTAATATATCTGCAGAGTGGGAACTATAAATCTGATAGGAGTTTAATTTTTTTATTGTTGTTTTGCACAATATGCTTAACTAAGTATTTTTTGTTGTTGAATATTAGAGATTTTGCAGATATATTTTGTAGATACATTGTTTAGATTTACTTATATATTTCTAACCCTTTTATAGAATAGAATAGAAAATCCCTTTATTGTCCCACAATGGGCAAATTTACAGCAGCAGGAAGATTATTGAAAATGGTCACACAAATGAGGACCTTAGAAAAATGTAAAAGAATAACATAATAGGGAAGAGTTAAAATATAAAAAATGCAATTCTGTAAAGTGTTTTAATAATATAAAACTGGAGAATTAATAACCAATATGCAGCTATTGACATTTTTACAGTGATGGATATTTGAAAATAGCAGCAACATCAGAGATGTGCAGAATGACAGCAGCAGGTTATTTAACTGACTAAGGTTTCTATCATTACATTTGATTTTATTTGTTCCTGCTCCCGGTGGTTGGAACCTTTATTCCACTCTGGATTCTTGTGAGTGTAGTCTTTGTTCGCTTTAACTTTTTAAAAAATAAATAAATAAACAAACAGTTTTGAAAACCTCGGTATTCATTCTTTTCCTGCTTTGTGTGTAAACTTTCACGGTTGCTAAGCAACAGAGCATACGCCGGTAAAACCCGCCGAAGGGAGGACCTGTTCGAATTTACAGACAAAACTCTTCCGGCCTCCTTATTTTCAAAGACTTCGAAGGATCCAGTCTAGGTAGACCGCGTCCTTGGAGGATGCAGCCCAGGTTTTCGAACAGAGCCTCTGATTAAGAGCAGGGCTGCCCGCACTGACGCGGCTCAGGGATTACGTCACACGGAGCGTCGTGCGCAGTGAAATCAGGACATTTCCTCACTTTCTAAAAAAAACCCGGGACACCCGGGACAGGACGTGAAATATGGATATGTCCCGGGAAATACGGACGTTTGGTCACCCTAGTCCATATAATCTGTAATACTCCCTGCATGAATTATAATATAGTTATTTATATGCATTAATCAAGCAGAAAACTATGGCGATAGCCGAACTGCTCCACTTGTGAAAGTAAAATCTGTTGGGCCCTTTTTGGAATCAAGACAATTATTCTAATTGCCACATTGTCAGGCACTGGAAAAAAAAAAAAAGACTTCAAAGATCCTCTTTTAACCAACGCTGGGGCCCAATGGAAGATCTATTTAGGTAAACAAGTTCTACAATTTAGGATTTTGGATTATAGTAGTTAGCCCTCCCACCCAAAGTGGGCTCTTGTCTTAAGTTTATTTGGTGATGCAGAGACCACAATGATGATGCTGAATTTGTCAAATGTAATGCTGAGATGTTAAATATATGCTATAATTTCACATAGTTAAAAAATTATAATCATAACTTTTGTTTGTTTGTATAATTGCTTTGTTGCAAAAATCCAGTTCTTTAAAAGGCACAATTTTTACTAAAGGTTCCTCTCTATGATGCATTCAGGTACTGCTGGAAACTAAATATCCAGTCAGCTCTCACTGGAAAACTTTTAAAATCACAGTTTATGCTAATAAAGTCTAATTATAATTAGAGCAATAAGATTTTCTTTGTTCACTTTTGATTGCAATAAAAGGAAAGTAAACATTAGAATAAGATAATATTTGTTTAACTCTATGACTCTAAAGCACTAAAAACACAACAAACAGAAACTTGAGGTATGGTTTGTGTACCTTAATACTCCTTGTTGTAGTATGAAATGAAAGCTTTGAAATATGCTGTTTATGCAGGGCGGGTACTTAAAGCTGAAACTCACCCAGTGTCCTCCAGGTTGATCCGACTCACAATCCACGCCGCGGTGAAAACAAAAGGGATTCCTGTAAGCCAAAGACAGAGGATCTGTTCAGGTTCTTCCTCCGCCAGATGCAGATCGTCTCAACACAGCGTCTGCACAGGCATTAAACAGCTGGGCCTCGCTGGTGATGCATTGGGTGTTGGTAAATCTTTTGATAGATGGTGGAAGAAGGTGTCACATGGTAGCAGCTAAGACCGAATGGAACAAAGTGAACTCGGAGGCATGAAAAGTGTTTATAGAATGACCTTTCTCTGAAACACACGGGTCCACTTTAAAGAATGACGTAGTGTCTGTAGGCCTGTCTGTCTGTCTTTGTCACATTTTATACGGCAACAGTAAAATGCGGCCCAGTGAAAAATGTAGACTGGAGCTCAGGTCCACAGTAAGTAGAGATTATTGATGTTTCATCAGAGCATTTTCACTGAGTAGCAGCATGTTCTGGCTGGAGGAGTTATCTACTGTCACACCTGGCTCTTCAGGATTTAAACAAGGAGAGACCCCACACAATTCAAAAAATATAAATATTTTGACAGAGTCGTGAAATAAAAACGTCAACTTTTAGTTAGGATGTGATATAAAAGTCATAAGTTTCAACAGAAATGTTACGGTTGGGAAAGTAATTTTAGCTTAAAGCTTTTTTTGGGAGTCAGTGATTTGGATCTTCTGAGCTGCTGGTGGGAGCTAAGCTTCATGAAGTACCTGCAGCAGCTGGAAGATACAGCTCCTTATAGTATGGATGTTAAAGAGGATGGCAGAGAGACTCTTTATGCCCAACAACAGTAATTATGTCCATCTGTTTGGTTTCATCTGCAGCACTTTAGTATTTTAAATTCATTCCACTTCATAGAGTTTTTTTTCTTAAATACAGCTAAATGTTTTGTTGAAAGTAAAAAGCTTTTTTTTATATTTATTTTTTTACTTATATATAAAATGTATCTAAATATATGTATAAAAACAGTACATAAATAATATATAAATAAATATATATATACAAAATAAAAAAATAAAGAAAAAAAGAAAAATTAAAAGAAGAAAAACATAAATCAAAAAACTCATTAAAAAAAAATAACAAGCATCGTGTTTTAAAAGGTGAGTAAAAGTCCAAAAACAATCAAATTTTACTTAGGCCACCTCTGTTTTGCACTGTAGCCCTGCTCTGATCACTTTAGTGGGTTTAGAGATTTGATAAAATAAAGAAAGACTACATGAATAAGTAAGGCCATCACCAGTAAATATCACTGGGCAGCGGGTCGGTGCAGCTTACCCCAGCCAATGAGCATGTAGATGGAGAGGCGGATGGAGTAGGTGTGGATGACAAGAAGAAGCATGTGCAGGTAAACACCCTCCACCAACAGCCAGAAAAAGTTGGCCATGATGAAATAGTTGAAGAAAACCAGGCTGGCCTTACAGCCCACCTAAAACAAAAATACTTTATTATGACATGAATTTGGAAGAAAGAACTGAATCAAAGTGAAATTTCATGCTAAATAAACATATTTTAGACTTTCAGCTATGTCGTAATGCCATTTATTAAAGCTACACTGTGTAATTTTCAGCGACATCTAACGTTCAGACTGCAGACTGTAGCAACATGAACATCTCCCCCCCACCGCTTCTCCCCCCCAACAGTACGGCGAGCGTTACGGGACAAAATGTCTTCCACGACGTCCGCATCACCTACCTTCTCAAGTGATGAGGTTTGTTAACATACCGGTAGATAATTTTACAGATAGTATTTCATTAGTCTGTGTGTTCAGTACCGTCTCAGTTCATCTCTCTCAACTTGCCGTAGTTACTTTCGAGCGTAATGGGCGATCTCGCAATCGCTAGTTTGTTGGCTCTGCGCTGCCGTAGCGCAAAGATGTCTGCCTCCATGGCTGCGAGACCCGCTCCTATGTAATTATAAATAACGAATTCTAAGGCAACGCAAATATTAAGGTTAAGAGGCTGAGCTCGTAGATGATGATAAATAACATAGTTATGTATAATATATTACATTTCTGACTGTATATCCCTGTAATTATTACACACTGTAGCTTTAATCAAGATCATCAGGCATTTTGCTTGATTTGTCTGAACTGCACCCTCTCCCTGTCCTGAAGCCCATTTGACAAAGCAGGTTTAACAAATTAAAGCCTGTTTTCCACTGAAATTAGCAGGTTAACCAAATTTTCAAACATAGGTCGACTCGCAAATAATCGGCATTTGATTCCCTTACCATTGGCAAAAAAAGCCAGGTCTGACCCCCCCCCACTGGCAAGCTGCATGACTCCGCCCTCCCACTGCTGCATGTCTGGTAATCACATTGGGTTAGTGTTGATACTGTCATCAGTGCGACAGAAATCAGGAAGGGGATTTTAACCCGGGTCTACTTTTCTAATACTGTAGATCGATGAAGACACTAGCTAGATAGCACAACAAGTCCTTGACTTAGAAAACATGCAAATTGAACCAGACGAACAGGCTCTTTGGAATAGGGGTCTTTTGGCTTCTTTGTTAGCCTGCGATTACCTTTCTATGTCTCTGAAAGGGTGGTCATTACAGGGAACTGTTGACATGGCTGAACAGGTGAGGTCTTCTGTTCTCCTGTAAGGGGGTGGGGGTTTCGATGATAGCGGGAGGGTATCAACTCAATTGCTGCATTGTAGGTTTTTGAAAGCTGAAATCTGAGTCCACCTCCTCTGTTTAAGGTGTTTTTTTTCTTTTTTAACATAGATGGCTTCCTTTCACCTACCTCTCAAACCACCTATTTTCTTTGTCCAAAAAGTGAACATTCTGGTTCTCAAAAGAATGTTCTTTGACCCTGAGGTGTAGATGTACTGCTAAGTCTTGTCCCGAGGAGGTCACTCTTCTGTGTTGCATACTGTCATCGTGAAGTTGTCAGAACCTTCTTATCTAGACGGCTCTGATAAATATGGTTGAAAGATCTGTGAAAACTAATTACGCACAACTCTTTTAAATAAATACAATACTTTATACTGTGAATTAACGGAGATTTCTTACAGTACAGTGTACTCCTAACAAGAGCCGGATGACGTCATACACTCTCCACTTTGTTTTTAAAAGATATAAATATAAAAAATATAGCTGCGGATGTCTGGGGGACAGTGATTGGTGTTATGAATGCTGGCGTACCATAAATGATAAACGATGAACAGTTTAGTTTGTGCCTTCAAGTCGTTCCCCATAGGAAGACTTGGAAATACTTGGATATAACCTAAAGGAATATTTTCAGAACAGCTCTAAATGACACAAAACTCATATGGGTGAGTAGAGCATGATGTAATAACGTAAAATCAAGGGCCCAATGTAAAAAAACGGCGTTCCCCTTTAACACGGTCGAGTCATTTGACCCGGGTAGAAATGCATCAATGAGCTGTTCCAACTGCCACTAAAAGCCAATTGCTCCAGGGTTTAAATGGGTTTCTCCAGTCCCTGATAAATTTGAAGACGAGTATAAGTAATTAGCTGCACTTATTTTGTTACATTTTTGTAAATATTCTAATAACAAAAAACTCTTAGACTATTGCTGCTGCCCCCTTCTGGTTTAGAGTAGAACTGCTTTTACCAGAGGTGAACAACAGCTGTTCTGTATTTGCCTTTTTCTTTTGCATTAGTCTCTTTTTCAGTTTTTAGTATTACACTAGCAGTGGCTTCAACAGTTATAGGATTTCCCCCTGCTTTACCTTTATGTTCTCTTTGACTAGTTCAACCAAGTCCATTTCTCTGTTTATAATTAGGTTTTATTTTTTCTCTTTTAGGGACAAAAAGTGAGGGTTTCTAATTGTCTCTTTTTCTTTGAAAAAAGTAAATAGCAGCTAAACAAACGAAAGTCCAGAAAAAGTATTGAACTAAAAAGAAAGTTTAAACTCTTTGTTTGAATACATGACATCGAGGATATTGTGACCGTTTTGGTCCAAACAGGTTGATGAAATATTTCCTTCCCTTTTATTAAAAGTTGCATTTTAGAATAAGAAGTTTTAACAGAAACAATAAAACTGTATGTTGAAATAATGGTCATTGGATAATGCAATAAAAAGTTTTAAACAGGTATACCAGGCATCGCCAAAGTCTGTCCTTGAGGACCACTGTCCTGCAGGGTTTAGAGGTTTCTCTGCTCCAGCACAGCTGATTTACATTGATAGTTGATTAACAGGCTTTTGCTGAACAACAATCATCAGAATCAGCTGTGCTAAAGCAGAGGAACCTCTAAAACCTGCAGGACAGCAGCCCACTAGGACCGACTTTGGGGATGCCTGATGTATACACTCGCTAGACTACATATAAAATTCTTATGGGTCATGGTTTATGTTAAGGCTTTTTTTCATAAATAACATAAACAAATCAATTTTTTACTTCTGAGAAAAGTTTCAAAGGAGATACAGAGAAAAGAAATGAGAGGCGCTTTGATTTGACCATACTTCTTCTTTGAGTCACATTTGTCTGTTACATGAGACCCTTTAGGTCTGTCTTAAAAGTTTAGCTACATCAGATGTTTACCTTTCATACATTAAGGCACAACTTCATCATCAAATCAAAAAACGACACTGAAAGCTACATCTAAAAGAGAATCATGAATGTTGAAGGGATTGTCTTAGAAAAGATACATCTGGTTTTAATGGCTTTAAGTAAGGGTGAATCTGAGGGGCTGGAGGAGGAAACCACTTCTCTCTAAGACACTGAAGGCAGCAACACATTGTTCTGCTCAGTTGGATCACAACAAACAGACTTTCCAAACAAAGATGGACCCAAAGTCCATATGTTTGGCCAGAATGCTGAGAGAAACCCAAACACACCAAAATCAGAAGTTACATTAGGGTACAACAGTCTCAAACAGACAATTATTAAAGCCTCTGAAGATTAAAAATAACAAAAACAGAAAAGAGTCAATTTTTATAACCATATAATAACTACAAATGTTCAATAAAAACAATGGAATGAAATTTTCATGTAAAAAACTTGATATCACTGATGGGAGAATTTTTTTTTATTATCGGTCCTGAAATCTGACCATGAAAACTGATTTTAACAAAATAGACAACATGTAACAGCTGGTCACTAACAGGCCTGAGCCAGAGCATTGATCCAATCTTAGCTTTCTATACTTTTAAACACTCAGACCCTCCTTTAATCTGACCAAGGCTGGCTTGATTAACTGTCCCTCAGTTTCTGAATGTCTTCCAAGGTTTTTCTGGGGGGGTTAAGCTGCTTGATCATTTTTTCAGTCATTTAAATCCTAACTCTCAACTATCGAGGCATAAAAGAGAAGGATTTTAAACTTAATACCTATGGCAATGTTTTGTCAGTATAAAGGAAAGAATGCCAAGAAACTTTTTAACTGCAAATTAAAGCATTTAGTCATACAGACTAAATGTGTTGTGATTTCTTTGACAGAACAAAGGAAATCCCAAAGACAGCATCGATAGTGGGACAGATAAAGGATTTGATAACACAGTGTTAAAATGTGTCTGGATCTCAGCATTGGGTGCTTCATGTTCTTCAAACTTCTTCATGAAACAAGACAGATGGGGAGAATTAGACCTAACATGTTTACATGTGTCTGGAACAGACAAACGTCTTCTCAAAACATCCTGCAAGATGCATTTGGGCTTTTAGTTGTTCATTTTCTGCCAAAAGATGAGCTTTCTGCAAACAGATTTATGGTAACTCCCCTGGAAATGCTTGAATTTTAATAACTGGAGATAAACCCCGTGAAAAAAAGCAGCCAAAGTCTAAAGAGCAACTTAAGATCAGTTTTTAAAACACTAAAAAAGCTTAAACCAAGTCTATCTGCTTAGAGAGAAAATCTGAAGAATTATAGACTAAATAAAGACTATTTGAGATTTAACAATAGAACTTAATTCTAGCATCACTAGAACAGCTTATTATTAAAAAAAAAGTCCTTAAATGAAACATCTGAGTGTTTTCTGTTTGCAAAGTCACCAGAGATAGCCTTTTGCTGCAGTCTGTGGTCTGATCCTCAGAGAAGAGCAGCGCATCTTTGATCAGCACGGCTGCAGCGCGCAGCATGAAGGACACAAACAGGTTCAGATGGATGTAGTTCCTCATGCAGTGAAGCCTCCTGTACACACATTAACACACACACACAGACCAAAGCATCACCAAGTGTTTACATAGAGAGTCGGGGGTGAATCCACTGAAGGACGTGTTGTCTAAACACAAAGATAGCAGCTGAATGAGCGGCTGGAGTCCATCCAAACGAGTCCGACACATTTACACAGCAAGCTGTTATCAACCTCAGCCTTCAAACATGCATGTGAGGGAGTTTTAACGAGCTTCTGCTCTTAATTGGTCCACTTCTAGGGTTATTTTACGGCTAAAGCACTCTGAGAGAAAACGCTGAAATCTCCCACATGTTGGACATTTCAAAATTCGTCATAAATGTTTCTGTAAAGTGAAAAGCCACTTAAGAAGACGAATGGGGCTTTAATAAACTTTAGAACATTCTCCCTCAATTTATAAACTTTCTGTTTTACAGGATTTTCAGAAATGCTTCAAACTCCAACAACATTTTTATGTTTAGACAAATGCAAATGAAATGCCCCATGATTTGGATGTTTTTCCTGCAGAGGGACGCTGCTGGGGTGGTCTTTGCAGAGAAATTGCTCTTTTAATTTTGCTTGATTCTTGTAAAGTATCTTTGACTTTTTGCTAAACAAATTATAGAATAAATTATTATTACCAAATTTCGCCTGGTGGTGTGACATTTTTTACTTTGCCAGATTTACAATTTCTATGATCGTCACCATACTGTTAATAAATACTTGGATTATCTATTTCAGTTACCTAACTGCCAGTGGCGGCTGGTGAAAAATATTTTTGGTGGGGCTGATATAGCCTAGTGTATGTCTCCAACTAACCCGGAATAAGAATTCAAATAAACAATTGGACAATACATACAATTTAACAGTAATGATTTAATTTACTATATAATAACAGTAACAGTGATGATTTGGGTCACTGTGACGGGGTTCTTTGGCCTCCAAGAATCCAGGCTCAGTCGGGTTACCGGTGTTGGTGATTTATTGAGCTCAAAAACTCAAAACAGGGTGCAAAAGAAACTAAACATATACAAGATACTCTGGGCCTCAGCCTCCCTCCAGTTACCAGCAATGTAACAAAGAAACAGAAAACAAAAATTGCCGCTTTTCTTCCCACAGCCCTCATTAAATAGTTTAAGCCCCTCACCTCAGGCTCTCTTATTTCTGATTTCTTCTCATTAATCAGTTTTGTCCATATATTACCTCCACAAACAATTGATGTACAAAAACAAATAATTTTTACAACTTAATTATTTTACACAGATTCATTGACTTATTCAATTACACCAAACTGGGTTTGAACCCAGCAAAGACGCAGCCAGACTGAAGATGAAAAGTCCCCGCATAAACACGTACACACCCACACCCCCCACATACCCACACACACACACACACACACACACACACACACACACACACACACACACACACACACACACACACGGCTAACCCCACTGAAATATTAAGTGTGCACCCTCAATATGCCAGCAGGTAACCAGGAACAGCTTGTGTGTTTTAAGTTCATGGAGCTACTTGGCTCTGCGCGAGTTTATTGGTCCTCACAAACACAGTATAACAGGAATGTGTGTGTGGCGCGCAAAGTTAGAGAGGTTGTTTTAAGCGACGAGGTGGATTCGTCACAGTCACAATAACCATGAAATGAAATGTTCATATCCTACAAAAGGGATGTTCTTCTGGCAAACGGGTAGATAAATAAGGATCTCACCGAATTTGGTGGAAGCTGCATCTCGCTCGTTACATTCGCCATCTTCCCTCTAATTGTCTGCACCTGCGCTTGGGTTCAGAAGAGAAGCCTGTTAAAGCGCAGTATTTTCAGCGCCCCAAGACCATAAAGTTCCGAGACACTGATTGGCCATTAAATTCACCTAGCAATAGTACATGATTGACAGATTCTCTGCAAATGTGGGTCAGTCTGATCAGCGCCCGCAGAACAGAGACGGTAGGAGTCTGTCTGTGGAAATCCACAAATTAATGACAGTAGATAGGGAAATGTAGTTTATATAATTTGTTTTGCTTATAGGTACACAGTCTAGAGAGTAAAACAGACATTTATGAGTTAATTTCTAAAAATATATTTTACGTTTCTCTCTTCTTATCAGGGAGGGCGGTGCCCCAGCGCCCCCTATGGGCCGGCCGCCACTGCTAACTGCCTATTGTTTATAAGCAGATAAGAACCGAAGAAGGACATTTGCTCTCATTTTTTATTCAGATTTATCGACTTTAGAGAAAACAGTCTGTAGTTTTAATTCTAGAACCTGCATCAGGGTTGGATTTATTTACTGCATTAATCAGCCAAATTCCTTGCAGTCTTGTCATTGTGCATCCGTAGTGCTGTGTGCCTTAAAAAGTCACTCAAAGTAAGAACCAGAAAAATCTAAAAGTTTTTCGGGGGAATGATGTTGTAAGTCACAATTTAATTTGATTGACTGTTGAAAATCTACAGCATTAATTGTATTTTAGGCTTAAATATGCACTTTTGGTTATTTGTACACTTTTAATTAATCAAAAAAAGAAAAAAAAATAAGAATAAAAATGTACTAAACCCATCTGGACAAAAAGAAAAATCTTTTTGACGAAGATTGTAACTAATAAGTATTAAATGCTTTTCAGTTGGAACAGTTATTCTCATTAAAATGAACCGAAACTAACTGTCATGATTCTCCCTTTTCTGGACTTTTTGCTTACCCTTTAAGTTTTCTTTTTGGGTTCTCAGCTATATGTCAAAATTTATATCATTTTTTAATTCTTTGTTTTACTCTCCCTTCTTATTTATTTCAGTTATGTCTTTTCAGCATTTTTTATATTATTAATTCCTTGGTCTGATTTTTAGTTGTTCCCTTTAGCTTCGTAATTTCCTAGAGACAGTTAGATCCTGCTGTTTTCCTGGTTATTCTTTGTCGCCCCTAGTGTCCCTCTCCTTTCCCTTTAACTGTTTTCTAGTTTCTTCTATCCACACCTGTTCCCTATCAACTGATTAACTCATTATTTGTTCTTTCTCCCATACATACACTTCCTGTTTAATTCATAATTGCTGGATTGTCTTCATTCCTTCAGTTTTTGAGTTGTGTTTTTTTTTTTATTCCTGAGTTCCTTGCCGGTCATTTCTGGATTGTTACTTCTTTAATATTTACCTCTTCATTAAATCTGCCTCTGCAGCTCTGCATTTGGGTTCTCTGCCTAACTCAACACACCACTGACACTAATGGGGAAAACAATTTGGTGTTACTGAGATAAAACCATGTCTGTTATTATTTGAAACAAAAAATCTAAGATCTGTCTAGTTCAGGGGTCTTCAAGGTTTTCCAGGCCAAGGACCCCCAAACTGATGGCGAGATGGAGCAGAGACCACCGAATTATGTATATTGTATCAAATTGTGTTATATCAATCTGGTCCTATGGTCACTCTATTACAGATGGAGTCATGTAACTAAAGTAATTCCTCCCTGGGATTATTAAAGTATTTCTGATTCCTGGTTGATGGGACAGGTGTTGTGACTGAAACGGTGCCCAGCTTGAAAGAGCTCCTGTGTGTCGCTGAATGTGTGCATTGATGACTGAAAGACATCTTCTGCCTCCATTTATCTGTTTACTACAGTGTGTTGAAATCATGTTAATGTGGATTTAAAGACATTTCAGTTAGTGGAAAACATTGCACTGGGGAATATGAAAAAAAAAGTAATTAACCAAAACTTTCACAACCCCAATGCAGTACCTTTATGGACCCCCTAGGGGTCGCGGACCCCCTGTTGAAGACCTCAGGTCTAGTAAGAAATTTGCCTTGATGCAGTGTTTGAAGGTAACATTAATGCTGCATGCATGGTATGTCGCGATATCAGCTTGAACGCAGATAATCAGTCCAAAAAAACCTCCACTGTTGTTATGCAACAAGAAAATATGATTCAAGCGGCACTGCACCTCTGAGCAGCTGTGGTTATATTTATCAAAGAGATAAAAGATAAAGAAGGGCTGAAAAGAACTTCTTAAGAATTTGTTTTACCAGCTAGATAGCAAGAAAAAAAAACATTTCACAGTTATTTTATTTTTTAATTTTCAACTGTATAAAATCAGCTTCAGTTAAACTTGCTACTTCTTATGCAGACCAAATGTTAATATTAGTGTGCTTCTCACAAGCACATGCTGTAAACTCAGTTTGTTTCTCCTATTGTGATGTGTTTGTGATCTGTGTGAGTGATGTGAATGATTTACCTGAACGAACACATGATGACGGTGCTGGTGAGCAGAGCGACGAGCGACAGGCTGTGACCCAGAGCAGACAGAACCTGCACCACTTTGTAGAAGACCAGCTGCACCGCAACACACATACACACAACACAAAAAACTATTGAATAAGAAACAATGAGGTGATTCATCAAAGCTGATCATAAAATATGAGGTGCAGCTGGACTGGCCTTCATAAAAACTGTATTTGCTTCATGAGCACAGGCAAAAACTGATTACATGATCCAAACTGTGGCGATTTCCATTGTTTATGAAAAAAAAACCTCTTGTACCAGATTCTTTTACTGAAATAAATCACAATGATGGAAAAAATGTTCCTGAAAAAATATACAACTTCAACTAAATATTTATGTAGGCAGAAAAAGAGCGAGGTTTTTAAACTGAAAGTCTAAATAAAACACATTTCCAATTGGTCAAACACTTTAACACTTAAAAACAAATCTATGGGCTTAGAGAAAATTGGGCCACAGATGACAATTTATCTGAGCCACACAGATGAGAATATAAACAGGTACGGCAGAACTGCATTCCCTTAAAAGAAAAAATAAAGGAGAAAAAAGTTTTTAAACCTGGTATCCTGTAAACGGTAACTAAAACTTGCAAAACTTAAAGTGTCAGAAGCTCAACTGGAGCAGTAACTAAATACAGGATAAGATGGTATGGGGCAGAAAGCTAGAGATGCATTGATCCTGTTTTTTTCCAATCCAATCCGTTACCTGAGCAGAGTGTATCGGCTGATATGCAATACTGATCCAACTCACATGTTCAATGAATCAACTATATAACTTGCTATGTGAGGGAAGGCTTTAGCCCTGAACAGTGTTGGGACCTTTTTTTAATACAGCCTCTAACCAAGATTATAAAATCTTTGTTCCCACACATAATGAGCAAATCACAGAAGTATTTAGCCTTCAGTGAGGGCTTTATTGAACATTGAATTAGCGGCTTTGCACCATTGTCTATCCTCTGTGTTCATGGTGAAGTTGCATGTAGCATACACCATGTGCAGGTACACGTGCGCATTGCTGACAAGTCTGCTTAAACCAGGAACCTGTAGTCCTTATTTATAAACGGTAAGTAACAAATAACAAATCTGTTTAAAGCAGGGGTGTCAAACTGGTTCTAGAAAGGGCTGTGTGGCTGCAGGTTTTCTTTCCAACCAAGCAATAGCACACCAGACTCCAGTCATCTCATCAAGTGAGTCCAATCTGAACATGATGACTTGATGAGATGACTGGAGTCTGGTGTGCTATTGCTTGGTTGAAAAGAAAACCTGCAGCCACACGGCCCTTTCTGGAACCAGTTTGACACCCCTGCTTTAAAGAGTAGTAATGACTTAACCTGACAACAGCCAGATGCATGTCTCGCTCCGCCTAGCTCCACTCACATACATCTGGGACACCGCCATAGGAATTGCCTTTACTGAAGCCTGGGCCTTATCAAAACTCCTTGCATATGATTGGATAAGCCACTTGTCTGTCATCTTTATTGACGTGCTATTTCAACCACTCACACCGAAGCTAACCCGTGACGCTGTGAGAGGAGGAGCCATTTGGTAGATCAAGCTCTTGCCAAATTCGGTCGGGAGAAGGGCGAAAACATCGTTTCCACCAACAAAAGCCTTCAAAGCCGTTCTCTGATGTTCTTTTGATGAAACAATATCAGATAGATTGGACAACACAGAAGAAATAGCAGCATCAATGCTAACGCTTGCTTCCTCAATGCGAGCCGCCATTGTTGTTGGAATCTCACGGTCGCTTCTCCACTCCAGGACACACCCACCCTGCGTCCCGATTAGCCAGACCATAAATTCGGTTGGGGAAATCACTTTCAATGAGCGGTGTCCCAGATGTATGTGAGTGGAGCTAGGCGGAGCGAGACATGCATCTGGCTGTTGTCAGGTTAGTAATGACTAACATGTCACTGACTTTTACAAACTTATTGGTTACAGTGCTAGTACTGCAAAAGTAATGTAGTTCCTCAGGATGCCCTATGCCCACCATTACCATTAGACTCCCACTCCCATGTAAATTCCAATGTAAAATGCACTGAGGTGGATCTCTGATGTTTGACATCAAATCAGCATTATCCAAAATAGCAAATTTGTCATGATCTGCAGTGACAAAATTAATCAATATCATAGCCGATATTGGATTGGTGCATCTCTACTGGAAGCGTTTCAAAAATGTTATCTAAGAGAAGTTCAGCAAACATGGCCTCTCTAACTGCCAACAGGCCATACCCATGTGCCCACAAGATGAGTGGGGGGCATGTTGAGTGAAGTCTTTTCTGTTCTACCACTAAAAGCCTTTCTACTGGGTTCTCAAGAAAAGAAGAGTGCTTTTTTGTTATTGTTTTTTTTTTGTTTGTTTGTTTGTTTGTTTTTAGAAACAAGTAACTAGAAACCCTTTACAAGTGGGTCTGATGTAAAAATAAGAACGAAAACATTGGAAAGTTTTTCTACTATCACACTCTGTTAAATACAGCAGAGTGTTTATAATTAGTTTGCACCGATATCGATACCAGTATCGGACGGGGCCCCGATACTGCCCAAAAATGGTGGTATCGGTATCAGCGAGTACCAACAAATAGGGCACCGATACGATTTTAAGAGCCATAAGTTTATTCAACTATTGTCACCCATTCCAGGTAGGCAATAAAAAGTTCTACTGGATTCACTGTATATTAGATTTTTTCCTGCTTCACAAAGGTAGGCAGCAGCTTGACAAAGCCATGATGGCAATTATTTTACATTATTATGATATCGGTATCGGCCGATACTGCACAGCTAGGTATCGGGTATCGGTATCGGGACCAAAAAATGGCATCGGCGCAACACTATTTATAATGTTAGCAGCCTTGTGCCATCAGTAACACTTTAAAATACACTTTAAGCAGTTTGCATAAACTGTTCAAATAAAAAGTGCAGAATCAGTCCTTATTTTTTTGTACCATAACATTGATGCAAAATATAAAAGGTCAACAAAGAAATGGCTTATCAGACAATAAAAACAACCTTCTTTCATAGGCATCATAGTCAGGAAAATGAAAGCCTATAGCAAAACAAAAGCTGAAAAGAAGAACAGATAAAAAGATTCCTCACTCTGTATGGTCAAATCTCCTGGAATGTTTGAGGACAGGACTTGATGCTTTTTTTCTTGCCAAAGAGTAAGACTCCAAGAGATTGGACAATAATATTTGGTATTTCCCTTTGCACATCTGTTTTATTATGATTTAATTTTAGATAGCCGAGAGTCAAATAGTTACTAATCTATGTAAGCATTTGTCTACGGCTGAAAGATTTATTAGCTTGTCTGGCTTCAGGGAAATGTAAATCTGTGTCATCAGCGTAACACAGACACGGTTTACAGCTGCATATTGCATGAGATGGCTCATGACAGGTCTAAGTTTTGACCCCCGGGGCACAACATGGGTCTGGGGTGCAAGAAAGGGTCAGGATTTCCCTTCTTCCTGTATAACCTTTGAACCATCAAGCTGATGGGGAATCCATAGATTCTAGACTACTTTCCTTTGCATATAATGGTTTTACCAGCAGCATTAAAAGCCTCCAGCAGATCCAGCAGGCAGGAGACACTCTCTCTAAAAATAAGCTAGGGAGGCCATTGACAGTAGTGCTGTTTTTGTTGGTCACCTGATTCAAAAGTAAACTTTCCCTGAATGAAAAGTATTTAAACCATGAGCTCGAAGACAAAAGAATAAAAGCCCTTGGTGGCTTCAATAGAGAGAAAGAGGTACTTCTCATTTTATGTCTCCTGAAGCAGTAATATTTACTGTTTTTTTTTTTCTCCAATGTGAAGAGGTTCTTTCACAATAAGAGCGGGGTCAGAAACAGAACGAGGGTCTGGTCCATCTCAGTGCGATTCATAACATAACTGTCCTGCAGTGTCTGCCCACTGAGTGTGTGTTCATGCTTGTGCGTCTGGCCTTCATCGCTCTCTCATCATCTATAAACAACATTCCCCAAAGCTGACACACAATTGCACAATTAACTGAGCCACGACACTCCAGAAATACATACACTCAATATATAGCAAACAGTCAATCCCACAGTGCACATGAAAATAGCATCATGTGCATATTTGCCTCTCTATACCTATAGGAGCCCTCTTTGATTCAAGACATGCTGCCCTGAAACATCACAGCTACTAAGGATACCTCAACACTCGCCCTAAACATGGGGATAGAGACGTGGCGGCTGGACGAAGCGCCTCTCTTGTTAAAACTTTACTAATTCCCACCGCTTTAAGCTCCTATGAAGATGGATCTCCAGCAGGGGGTCCAGACATAGCAGCACTGCAAAATGAATATTAACAATGCAGCTGCTGCTCTTAAGTAAGGACATTCATCGCTTTCCGTAAATATTTCCATATTTGGATAAGCACTGGTTATCTCTGCCTTGTCTATTTGCTAATTGACCAATTCAGCCCATTTCTAGTCAAATCTTCTCACTTATAAAACTATTCTATGTTGCTTTCTGGTAGTCTACATGGTCTTCAAGGTCTTGGTGTGTTATCTATTTCAGACATTCACTCATTGTCTTTCTCCTTTTTATTTAAACCCTTTTCTTTTTATATCTAATGTTTTCCTTATTTTAAACCAGTGTAGTTAAGCTTTATGTTGTGATTAAAATAACATATTTTGAGGGAAATTATGAAACCCTCTATGTGGTTGTTATTTACCTTTACTTTTCAGACTATCAAACTAATTCAAATATGATAGGCAATATTATTTTGGAATTAGCCAGTGTAATCTAAAAATCATGGTTTAATTTGACTTTAATTTTCAGTGGAATTTCACAACTATATCCAAGTTGTCTAATAAATAATTCTACAATTAGACCTGTAGTATAAAAAGATAATTAAATTGAACTTGTGTGACAACATGAAGTAGGTGAATCGTCCCCAAATGAACATAAATCTAAGGTAAGATGATGGAAATTTACTAACATCTATCAGACTGGAAAGGATAAAGTCGTTTCTTAAGAATATGATTTGTAGAACCAGCATAGGCCTTGCTGTCCGTAACTTAAGTTTCTGCTTCTCAA